CGAACACTAGATGGCGCTTCGGAATTTTGACACATCAAAGTTTAAAATAAGTCATTTGTACGTGAATAAGTCTTTTTCACTAGTTCATTTGTGTAATCTGTGGGTGGAGAAAGGGGTACTTAGGCTGTTCACACTTGTCCTTTATCTAGTCAACCCTTAAATTGTTTGTCATATGACATATTACACTAACTCGCGGTGGTCATATCCAACCTCTTCACACTAAGTCCATCAGCCCGCCCGCTCTCTGTCCGGTTCGCCCGGAGTCCTCCATCGCCACCAGAGGGCGGGAGGGCGGCAATTTTTGAACCGAAGATCGTGATGTCATCACGGTCACTCAATGCTACCTTTCTGGGCGCAACATATTTCTATGGAATTTCGTTCAAACATCCCGGACAGCTCGGGACTGTAACGCGGACAAACCTCGTGGACTGAATTGCGGACAGTGTCACAAATAGTCTCTTGGACCATTGCGGACAGAGCCACGGATAGGATCTCAGATGACTGCGGACAGTGCCGCGGACACGATCACGGACAGCATATTCCATCGAAATTTCCTTTAACCATCCTGGACAGCTACAGCTACACGGACAATCATCGTGGACAGTTTTGCGGACTATGGCGGACAGAGCCACGGATAGGATCTCGGACTGCGGACAGCTGCGGACAAGTCCACGGACGTTTCAATCCACGGACTGGGGCCACGGACCACTCATGGACATACCAGTGGACATGTCCTCAAATTGTCCTCACGTAGTCCGTAGCCGCTGTCCGCGTGAGCTGTCCGTCGGCTCATCAGGGGGACCAAAAGAAAGTGAAAGAAGGCGTTCATTTGATGGGTACGGATTACATTGTACAATATGATGTAGTCTCTGATAAGTTGGTGGTAAATGAAGAGCATGGATACTACCATCAAATTCAAGGTCAGCTATTTTTAACAAGAAGGTCTCTGTGCTACCTTGTTATTTATGTTTCTAACGATATGGAGTATGTTGAAATTCCTCGTAATGATTCATGGGCCTCTAATATTCCTAAGCTTATTGAGTTTTGGGATAAACATGTAATGTCTTCTATCATTCAATGAATATTTCTTTTATTACTTATGTTTTAAGTAATTGTTTTCCTGTGCCTAGTAGAAGGAGCTAAGTGCAATGTAAAATTACAACTTTTAATCAGTCTCATGACAAAAATATTTATCAATAAATATTACAATTTAATTTAAAAAGCAAACAAGTACAATTTTATTTTATGATTTCATGTCATCTTCCACTTCCTTAATCAGTGAGCATCTAAGGTTTGTTAAACCAGCACACACCTGGAACACTTTACTTGAAAACTTAAACAAAGACTGTGGAATCTTGTCCAAGATGTGAAAGTACTTCACTCTGAGAATAGCACGTTCGACATGGATCCGGCTTCTAGCAATTTTTAGAGTCTCCATTACCTGGCCTCTTGTGAACTGTGGTGTCTCCTTGAACGGAGGCAAGTTGAGATCAACACCAGGGGGTAGGAGGTCGCCAATAGGAAAACCTTTATCTGCCATGACAGCATCACCAGCTTTCAGAAGGTCCAACACCCCACAGTTGTATACAAGGACCTTGTCTGAGGTGGAGCCAGGAAATAAATCACTTACATAAATAATTGTCCCATTAGGAGCAATTACGATTAGAGCTTTGAAGGTAGTCCTGCTTTTATACGAACTATAAACTTCATTGTGATTGCTCATAAGTGAGGGCACTTGCACTTCCACTTCAGTGCAGTCGAAAATCATCCGACAGTTTGGATACATACTGAAGGCTTCTGGCATTGACTGTCTTACTTTATGCAGGGAAGGCACATTTTTTTCCATGATGCCTTCAACTACGATGATATGTAAAACACTAATCCATGTGATTAGAGTATTAGATACAGTGAACAGACTAACTTCGAATAGATCTGCTAATAGCTGGTGAGAGACATTACGCCTTAGTTTGAAAAGGGTGATGAACAACTGATCTTCATTAGTCAGACATTTCACAGCTGAACCAAAGTAGTACTGTATATCCTGCTGGACCATACTTAGAAGCCAGTAGAAAGTCCCAATGTTGGGCAAGCCTGTATAATGGGCAATGTTATCCTCTGTGATGAAGTTCTTGAACAAAAGTCTTTCCTTAGAAGCTTGTAATTTCTTTTTATACTCCTGTTTTTCATTTTTCAAGGCATTGCTCACTTTGGTGAATATCTCTAAGTTTTTGGATTGCAACTGCATTTTTTTCCTCAGCTCTTCAGTTTCACTAGAGAGGCTATGCAACTGCATTTTGAATGTATCTCTTGATTTCTGCATTACTCTCAATTCATTCTCTCCTTGTTTTAATTTCGAATTTAAATCACATTCTACATTTTTAAATTTCTGACAGTTTTCCTCCAGCTCCTTGCTTCTTAATGTGAAACCATCTCCTGATTCTTTAAGTTTTAAATTCAAATAATATTCTCTATTTTGAAATTTCTGACAGGTCTCCTCCAACTCCTTGCTTTTTAAACTTAAATTGTCTTCTAATTGTTTAATAATTAATTCAAACTTAGCTTGCTCTTGTTGTAATTTTACTTTAAATACTGCATCTGCTTCCTTCAATTTCTTTTCAAACTCTTCTGATTGTTGCATTAGATTTTGATTGAAATCATTTCTTGCTTTGTCCAATTTTTCTTCTGAGGCTTTCAGAGCTGCTTTCAAATTCTCATTTTCTGTACTCAATCTATCTCTCAGAGGAGTTACTTTCCAAGGCGAATTGGTCATACTGTCAGAAAAACTGCAAAACAAGATAGAGAAGTATTACGGAACAAATATTCATTGTACAATTTTTAAAGAGGCGCATATTTGCTTCTTTGTTACTTACGTGATCTTATCAAGGCCATCCCTAACATTCTCTACATGTTCACTGCACTGGTTTGTGACATCAGATCTAAAACAAAAATTATAACTTATCGACACACTGAGATAGATTATATATTTAGCATATGAAGATTCAGTTTACTTACTGTTCACAGCTAATTTCCATTTGTATGTCTGCAAACCCACTGTCACTAAAGGACTCACGTCTCGCCCTCCTCAGTCAGACACAAGTTACAATGTAAAGAATACACATAGTTGATTGCATCATTCTTCGATTTGAATATCAACAATAACTTACTTTGAATATCCATGATCTCTTGATGAAGATGCAGGGTTGGGCGTTGAGCTGAAGAGCCCTCGTCGAGCTTTACTGTATAACAAATTTCCTACATTAATAGTTAGACTTGGTGAGCAGTGGTGATTGTTTTTTGTTTGTGTATAAATTACCTTGAGGATCCAGCAGCATTCTTTATTGGTGAACGCCGGTGTGGTGACATGGGAGTTTTTGTTGGGTCACTGCCAGGAAAGTGGCAGGAACACACAAGCCTTTGCCCAGGACTGTTTTGAAGCCTTTTGAAAAGAACAAAAAATGTGTAGGCATACAAGAGATACACATTTATCTTCCATCCAATAGTAATAAATAACATTATGGTAGCAAGTAACCTACTTCAAGCACCTCGCCCATTTCTTCCGTTTAGCGGGTGATTTTCGAAACTTATAGAATTTACAACCATCCTTTTCCGAACGATGCTTGCACACACAGCACCCAGCCATGACATATACGATTAAAAACGAAAACACGCAGATTAAATTCCTCTCCTCGGATAGTTCTGGAGGTTACGGTCGACGCGCGGCGTGGAGGTTGTTTGGAAA